ATTTATATTTACTTATATTTATAAATATATATATATAACTGAAAATATATAACTAGCAAATGGCATAGGAAACATTATTTACTCTACTATATAGAATGTGTTTTGACTTATTTTTACATAATTTTATCCCATTTTATTTTAAAAAATCAGTTATAATCCACAAATCAATTTCACAATCCACTAATGGGTCTCAATCTACAGTTTGAAAAACATTAATCTAGACCAGTGCCCAACACAACACAGAAATCTCTATAGCCACCCTGCTGGGTGGGAATCCAATTTCTGCTTGAGTGCTTTTCGTGCTGGGGAACTCACTCCCTACCATGCTCTATGGTGGGTCCATCTAGCGATGAAAGAGTCTCACCCACTGCAAACCTGTCCCAGAAAGGCTGGGACCCCCGGACAGGTGCACAGGCGCTGGCGAGGATGAGTGGGCTTCCAGGAGAGGGGAAGGGATAGTTCCAGAAAGCAAGGTGAGGGCCTGGGGGCAGCTGAGGAGAGGGGAGTTGGCTGGCCCTAGAGCAGTGGTTCTCAACCTTCTGGCCCTTTAAATACAGTTCCTCATGTTGTGAGCCAACCATAAAATTATTTCCGTTGCTACTTCATAACTGTAATGTTGCTACTGTTATGAATCGTAATGTAAATATCTGATATGCAGGATGGTCTTAGGCGACCCCTGGGAAAGGGTCGTTCGACCCCCCACGGGGTCGCGACCCACAGGTTGAGAACCGCTGCCCTAGAGGCTCGAGCGGGCTCTCTGAGAGACTCAGCTGCGCTGAGCAGACCTCTCGCCTCTGCCTCCTCGCTGCTCCCGCTCTGTGATTACCTCCTCATCTGACAGATGACCTCACTCCCCGGCACCCTGACTCCCTGCCTGTGGGACGCGACCCACAGGTTGAGAACCGCTGCCCTAGAGGATCGAGCGGGCTCTCTGAGAGACTCAGCTGCGCTGATCAGACCTCTCGCCTCTGCCTCCTCGCTGCTCCTCCGGCTCTGTGATTACTTCCTCATCTGACAGATGATCTCACTCCGCGGCACCCTGACTCCCTGCCTGTGGGAGGGGTTTCCTCCCCCTCGAGGGGCCTCAGCCTCAGGAGACACAGATTCCCCCACCTTCCCTCTCCACCTCCCCACCTCCCTGCAGGACTCCCGCAGCCACCGCTGGCCAGCCTCCTGCTATTCTCTTGGTCTTGACACACAGGGTATCCCTGCCCCAATGTGCAGACACGGGCTGCCTGAGCCCCCACCAGGGGCTGTGGAGACCTGCCCGTTTTCAGGACAATGGACTGCTCCACACCGGACCGTGTCTTCCCCGGAGGAATAAAACCCAAACAGCACCACCGCGTGGGGATAGCCGGCCGCTGGACATCCACGCCCGGGGTCCTGCATGAGAAGAGGGCTGTGCCCCAGCCACAGGCGAGGGGGGTGGGCTGAAGGAGGCGTGGACTGGCTGGGCCACAGGCAGGGACCAGGGCGTGGCAGTTGTGGGTCTCGCAGTTTGCAGCCTCACAGCCAGCCACCCTGCCCAGGTAGGATCAGGTTGACCTCAGGGCGGGGCGGGGCGGGGCAGGGGAGAGGGGGGGATCTCATTTCATCCCTCGAAGCAAGAGAAAAAAGTAACTTGGTGCCGATAGAGGATAAAGAACGGGTGATACAAAGGGAAAGAGAGAGGAGAAAAGCTGGGGCTGAGAAAAGAAATGAAGAACACGGAGCAGCTTCTAGCTCGAAAGGGGCTGGGGTCAGAGCCCGCTCCGGGGAAGCCGGATGCTGAGCAAGACCTTTCTCCCAGCCCCAACACATCTTGATGCAGGAAAAAACCCTCACCGTGGACATCTGACCCAGGCCGTTCCCGCCCACCCTCTCTCTCCTGAGCTCTGCAATGGGAGGGACGCCGGCAACCCACCCTCTCCCCTCTGCGGAGAGCATTCTTTTCCCCTCACCCAATTTCCCCCGGGGTTTGACAAAGTTTAATTGATTGCGTGAAACCAAAAGGCAACACAATAGGTGCCAGACCCCCTGCTGCTTCTCCTCTGTGAAGCGGCCGGTGTCCTTTTTCTTTTATCCGAAGAGCCTCGCATAATTTGCATTTCATTTCTACTTACCTGCAGTCCCGTTAGAAGCGAGCTGCTCCCTTCCTCACTCCCTCAATTAGTGGTACCCTGGGCTTCTCTCCACATCAGCACCACTGCTCGGCTCTCGCCATGACATCACCTCCGAGCTCTCTGATTGGCCAACAGTGGGTTGCTTGGCAATTGGACAGTTTCCTCCGGCGGCGGAGCAGGGATTGCCTGAGTGAGTAACTCTTAGCAGGCCAGGGAGTGGAAGATGATGTCAGACAAATAGCCTGCATGCCATGCAGCCTGTAGAACGGGGGGACCAGCGGGGTGAGGGTGGGGATGAAGAAAGAAAGAGGGAGTGGCACGGGAAGGTGGGGGTGAAGGCACAGCTTGCAGGCTGAGCGGTCCAGCGAGCGACGGCACCTGGAGAGGGGGGCTGATGAATGATTTCCAGAATCGTTAGCTCTTTCAGATCTGGGGGTGGGAGACTGTGGAATCTAGAGAAGTCAGAAAGCACAGATGACTCCTAAAAATAGCTTCCCGGAGGGCTTGGTGCCGGGTTTCCATCTTGGTCAGAAGGCCTGGTGGGTTTGCATAGTGACTCAGAAGGCAAGGAGGGGCTGCAGGTGCCTCAGACCATGGGGGTGGGGAAGGTGCAGTACGGGGGTCCCGGGAGAGCAGGGCTTCCCTCTCCCCACCTCGCTGTCCTGTTGGCCGCTCCTGTGCTGTGGCTATTTGACCAGCGCGGGTGGGTCCGCACCGCCCGGCCAGCCCTCCTGATATTCCCGATCGGGACTGAAGCTGAGGTCATCACCGCCTGGGGGACTCCTAAATGAGGCGGACCCCTGAGGGGAGGCAATGGGTCATCCAACTGTAGCTTCTTTAGTTCCCTCAGGGAATGGGGGCAGGGAGCCCCAGGTGTAACCTCTCAACCTGCTCACCCTGAGCCAGGCAGCTGGAGGTGCAAGGTGAGGAGGCTGAGCGGGAGACAGGCTGTGGGGCAAGCCCCCTGCTCCAGAATGCTCCTCCTTGTCAAAGCTCCCTGGGCGTGCCCTCCATCCCGCACTCCCACGGCAGGTGGGACTGCTCCACCACCCAGCTCTGCCTCACCCCCTTTTGGCTGGGGTGGGGACACATTTCTGTGTGTGTAGTAAAATATATATAACATAAAGTTTATTATTTTAACCATTTTAAGTGTGCAGTTCAGGGGCATTAAGTACATTCACACTGCTGTGCTACCGTCACCACCATCTATCTTAGAACTTTATCTTTCCAAACGGAAACTCTGTACCCATTAAACAGTGACTCCCCATTTGCCCTTTTCACCACGCCCCACCCCAAACTCTAATCTACCTTTTGTCTCAATGAATTTGCCTAGTCTAGCAATTTCATTACCTCATGTATTACCTCATGGAGTGAAATCATATAAGATTCATCCTTTTGTTTCTGGCTTATCTCATTTAGCATCATGTCCTCAAGGTTCATCCAACACTGACGCATGTGTCAGAACGTCGTGGCCTCGCCTTCTTCAAGGAGGGTCAGTTCAACCACAATCAATTTCACGGACCCCCACGCTCTACCACCACGCCCCTGCTGCCTGAGGATACGCATAATGGCAAAAGGTTACCTTGCTTTTAAGTTATGTTTTCAAACTACAAGAGCACCGGTGAGCATCTACGCACTGCAGTCCATGCATGTATAAGAGTGCTGTGTGGTCACTCTGCAGGCAGCCGGGGAAGCAGTAGGTTCTCAGGCCCCAGCACGGACCCTGGCCTGCACCCCACAGCTGAGACCCACCGTGTGGCTCATCAGGTGGGGAGAGCACCGGTTAGGCTGCCCCCTCTGACCAACCACGCTCAGGGGTGGCCAGAATAAGCAATGACCCCGACGTCTTGGGAGGCTTCCGAGCTCACCCACACTGGGGCTTTTGTGTCACCCCATCAGTGCCGGAAGGCCAGCAGCAGGAAACCGGTCTTCTGTTTGAACAACACTCCTCTCATGCCGGCCTCATGCCACGAACCCGGGGCCCTGGGGCCCTGGGCTGGCCCATGTCAGAGGGGATCAGGCGTGCCTATGAATAGCAGAGTGGTTTCTCAACATGGAGAGACAACGGAGGCCACACTGGTCACCAGGCTGCAATGGGAATCCAGGCAAACGGGAACCTTGCGGCTGCCCTTGCAGTCAGGGGAGCCTCTCTCCCCTCCCCCGACTCTCTTTCCTCTTCCCTCCCAGCCCTGGAAGTCTGGAATTCCACAAATCTGCAGGCTCTGGAAAGGGAGGGGGTCGGGGAGGAGACAGTGAGTTGCCATGGTGATGGCAGCCAATGAGAGATCCTGCGCTACTAGGCGAGGGGAGCACTCTGTCTGCATCCCCCCTAACCCCCCCCCCCCCCCCGCCCCCAACTGACTGATAGGAGGGTGTGGCTGGGACAGGGTGGGGGAATGGACAGGAGAAAACATCATGACCTGAGGGCAGAGACCAAGGTGGGGGGCTAAGGGTAGTGAGGAGGGCTGCCCCATTTCTAGAATTAGCTAGCTACCATCTGAGTGCTGAGCTATGATGGGAGGTGGATGGAGATATATATACATATCAGTTGCCCCCACAATGTTTTGCTCCCATCACCACTGTTCAGAACTTTTCATCTTCCCAAACTAAAACTCTGTACCCATGAAACAACAGCACCCCTTTCCCTCTTCCCTGGTAATAGATACAGTAATCGGCAAAGCTCACAACAGCCCTGCGAGAAAGGGCTTCCCCTGCCACCCCAGAGCCAGAAAGGAAAGGTAAATTGCAAACAGCCTGGCTGCTGAGTAGTGAGGCTAGATTTGAACTGATGTGGGGGAGGGGAAATATTAACGGGAAGAGGGCGGAGAGGTAGAGCCACAGCCACTGGACCCTCCTAAATGCAGTGGCTGCACATCAGTCACAGGGACGTGGGGCCCCCAATGCACAGACCTGTGACTTCGCTCTGTTGACGCCACCTTTCACGGCGCAGGTTGCACTGTGGCGACGACACTGGGGTGGGGCAGGTGTGGTCATTCCCCGATGCCCGTGTGCTGCCTGGCTGCCCCGCGGGCTCGCCATCATTTACCTCTTCCAAGGGTGAAACATGACTAACGTGTGGGGACGGGGACCCCGCATCCTCTTGTCAGTTTCCAAGTGTGGAAAGAAGCAGCAGCAAACAATCAGTAGGTGATTGACTATCCAGAAAGCAGGCATTGACTTGACTGACAATAACTCACATGTACAGCCCCCAGGCCACAGGGGGCAGTGCCCAGGCCCTCAGGGACCTGCCCGTCACAGAGGTAGCTCTGCTGTAGGGCCAACTGCACACTCACCTAGGGGATCCTCAGGAAATACTGTCCTAGCCTCACACAGGCATTCAGAATATATCTGAACACTGCGTGTGTGTCAGCTTCATTCACACTTGGGTGGTTTATAAAGATTACCCAATGTAAATGGGCATTTATTTTCTGCTTTTATTTTAGGAGGAGACAGAAGCTTGGAGGATTTTTTTCCCCCCTGTAGAATGTGTTGAACTGAACATTGTCAGGGATTGACTTAAAACAAATAAAAACGTTTGCACTATGAAATGTTTTTTTAAACTGTGAACGCTGTTTCACTTGAAGAGCAGCTGCTATGACTCTTGCACTCTTGTGACATCAGTGGCTTAGATATTTTTTCAATCAACACAAACTCAGTCAGTTGGAATTTAGGCAATGGATTGCGGGAGCCATTTGTTTATGCTAATTATTTATAAACTGCATTGTAATGGCAGTTAATGATTAGAACAATACCATATAATGTTTATAAAAACAACATATATAAAGTGAGCTAAAACCTGTGAGTCACTTACATGCCTGCTGCAAAGTATGTGCTCAATAAATGTTAGCTATTATTATGATTGTCACTAAAGATAAAAGCAGAATACCCATGAGTTTGCTAGGAACAGAAGCCCATTTCAAACTTGTTAACAAAACAAGATAATTTATATTAAAACTTGACAGTACCCCCCCACCATTAGAAAATGGGCAAAAACATGAAGGGACACATCAATGAGGATATACAGACAACAAATATACACATGGGGGAAAAAAGTTCATTTACTAGCAATTTAAAAAGGCAATTTATAATGACAATGAGCCGTGGTTGGTGTGGCTTAGTTGGTTGCAGGTTAGATTCCTGGTCAGGGCACATACCCAGAATTTGGGTTCAATCTCCAGTTGGGTTGCAGGTTGTAGACAACCGATTGATGTTTCTCTCTCACATTGAGATTTCTCCCTTGTGTTTTCCCTCTCCCTTCCTCTCTCTCTAAAATCAATAAAAACATATCCTTGGGTGAGGGTTAAAAATAAAAAGAATATTCTCAAAATGACAAAATTATAGAGATGGAAATAGATTAGAAGTTGCCACGGATTAGGAGTGGTGAAAAAAGGGGTGACTATATAGGGAAAACAGTAAGAAGATCTTTATGGCATACATTGTACCAATGTCCATTTCCTGGTTTGATATTATACTAGAGTTATGGAAGTTGTAACCATGTGAGAAATAGTGCAGGGTACATGGGACCCTTCTGCAACTTACTCTATACCTATAATTATTTCAAAATTAAAGGTGTTTCTTTTTTTGGAGCTTGAGGAAGTGTCAGACATAGTTCATGGAATATAAAGCAAAAATGCAACCCTTCCTCCTGAGAAGCAAGAACCAGGAAGGCACTCATGAATCAGCTCCCCCACCAAACCCCAGCCTCTTTGCAAAGCTGCTTCCTTCCTCTCTGTTTGTAGATACCTTCCCTCTGTAGGCACCATCCCTGCTATGGACACCATCCCTGCTGTGGACATCAAGCACCATCCCTGCTGTAGACACCATCCCTGCTGTGGGCACCATCCCTGCTGTAGACACCATCCCTGCTGTGGGCACCATCCCTGCTGTAGACACCATCCCTGCTGTGAACACCATCCCTGTTGTAGGCACCATGCCTGCTATAGGCACCATCTCTGGTCTTCCATGCACATGGCTGCTTCACAACCATGAAAAACTCCTTGCTTACCTGGCAGCAGTGCTGAAATCCTTTGTAGGCCTGCTGTAGGCACCATCCCTGCTGTAGGCACCATCCCTGCTGTAGGCACCATCCCTGCTGTAGGCACCAT